ACATGGCATGGCCATCCATCCCTGGGGGATCTGGCTGCCTTAACCTCCTGGCCACGGAGTCAGCTTAGCATGGTCCTTTTATTCATTCCAGGAGTGAGAGACAAAGAGAGACAGAGATAGGATGCTCCCACAGCCTCGATGCTGTACTCTACCCTCCCAACTCGGCCAGCCAGGGTCACGGGCACACACACGCCCAGAGAACGCTGGGAGGTCTCCGGATACGAGCTAGGACCTGGCCACGAGGGTCGGCCTCACGGAGTACTGTTTTACCGCAGCGCCACTGCCCGGCCCTGTCTCTGGGCCAGTGCCCAGCCTCCGCGGTGTGCTTCACTCTCTCGGAAAGCCCTACGTGTGGGCATGGGTGGGGAAGGACTGTGGAAACCACCCACCTCAGCTGGGCATTTCCTGGGTGCTGAACAGGACTCAGGGCTTCTATCTCCTTTCCCAGCCCCCAAGCTCACCATGCACACAGCTCTCCGCTGTTGGTGTTCTGGGGCACAATCCTGTGGTCCCCCTGCCCTGGGTGGAGGAGCACCTCATTTCCTGAAAGTAGGGCCTTTGGGAAATGATGTTTGGGCAGGACAATGGGGACGCTCAAGGGAGTGGGTTTGACACCTTTTGACAGACAGTGTCTCGCATGGAGGTGAGGGACATTTCAGAGTGCAAACCTCAGCTGCCCTGGCCCTGCCCACTCTTCAGTCCCACATCCTGTTGACTCTTACAAAATTGCTTAAGTCCGGCCCCTCCTCTCACTTCCTTGGGTCCCTGTCCCTTCTGGGGCCTCACCCCATCCTTCCCCAGATTGCACCAGCCTCGCCTACACACACACACACACACACCACACACACCTCCACTATCAAAATGACCTTTTTGGGGGACCAGCAGTTAGCGTAATGGCTATGTCGTTGGACTCCCATGTAGTCAACCAAGGTTTAAGTCCTGGACCCGGTGGCTTAAGACTCACGTCAGGCACGTGTGCGTGCGTGCCCAAGATCCCGAGAGAACGGAGGAGAAGGGACTGTGGCGTGACCATCCCCCCTGGGGGGTGATTTCTCGCTTTCTGTCTCTCTGTCTCTGTCGGGCGAGGGCACATGCACATCTCAAAAAAAAATTACCTTTTTGGTAACCATTGAGTTTGAATAGTAATAAAAAAAAAAAAATGGGGGCCCGTCCCATGATCCAAACTGTCCCCTGAGGCAATGTCCCCCCCAAAGCAGGGACTGGTTAAGGAACCAGATCCCACGTGGCCAACTGCACAGTTCGAACCCCAGTCCCAGTGGCTTGAAAGAAACCACTGGGCATGTGCCCCAAATCCGGACAGGATGGGAAAATGAAGGGATTGCAGTGTGACCACACCTCATTGTGGTATACTTTCTCTGTCTCCCTCTCTGACCATCTCTCTGTCTCTAGTAAGTGCACATGCTCTCTGGCAATAAAAAAGAAAGAAAAATGTAATTCAAATGATACAAAAGTAAGAAAAGCCACTTTCTCCCTAAAAAATTCCCTGTTCAAGGCCAGCAGGTAGCATGGTGGTTGGAGGTGCTGGATTCCTACATGGATAACCACAGTTCGAGTCCCAGACCTGGTGGTTTCCTTTCTTGCTTTTTCATTCTCTCTCTTGCTGGTCAAATTAAAAACTAATAATAACGGGGCTGGCAGGTGGAGTGGTGGTTATGGACACTGGACTCCCACATGGTCAAACATAGTTCAAGTCCTGGACCTGGTGGCTTGCTTTCTCTCTCTCTCTCTCTCTCTCTTTCTGGTCAAATTAAAAATAAATAAATAAATAAATAAAGTTAAATAAAATCTATAAAAAACCTAGTAATAACAAATGGAATTAAATAAATCAATAGTTCTCTAAAATTTTTTCCTGCTCTTCTGTTTTTTAAAAGAATTATTTTATTTAGCTTTATTCATAATAATATAATAATTATTATTATTATTTGACCAGAGAGAGACAAGAAAGTGAGAAAGCAAGTTGCCAGGACTGGGACTCAAACCACAGTCGGCATGTAGGAATCCAGTGCCCCACCAACCACTGAGCCACCTGCTGGTCCTCAGCAGTTTTTAAAATGTCTCCTAAAGATATTCTCTGCAGATCACACAGGTCCCTCGCGTTTTACAGATGGAAATAACACCGCACGTGAAATCTCTCTGCCCTTGCAGATAATGCACTCTCCAATGGCTGAAACACGTATTACAGAAATCGGAGATCTAAGATCTATTCTACCACCCCCCCTCAATGGCCATTCTCCAAATTACTGCCAGGGATCAGATGGTGTACTTCCCCCTGCTAAAAATTCATCAGCGGTTACTACAAAAACCACAGCCTCTCTCTCCACTGCTGGCGAGACCCTGCGTGAACCCTCGCCCTGCCACATTCACTTTCTGACCTCCACGCCCCGCCTCCACTCAACTCCAGCGACACTGGTCTCCTCTCTGTTCCTTGACAGATACAAACTTGTCCCCTCCCTACAGCCCAGGACATTTGCAACCACTGTCTCCTGTACCCAGAGCACTCTGCACCCAAGACCTTGCCTTGGCTCCCTTCTTTCTGATGGTTAGATAACAGCTCAGAATTCATCTCCTTGGGACAGCCCGCTAAGGCACTGGACTCCCACATGGCTGACAGTGCTTTGAGTCCTGGACATGGGGTCTTGCTTTCTCATATTCCCCCTCTCTCTTTGGTGAGTTCATGTACCCTATAATAAATTTTTAAAATAACAAAAAATAGGGATCCAGCAGTTAGCGTAATGGCTATGTCGCTGGACTCCCACGTAGTCGACCGCGGTTCGTGTCCCGGACCCGGTGGCTTAAAACTCACGCCGGGCGCGTGTGCATGCATGCCCAAGATCCCAAGAGGAGAATTTTTCCCCCTCTCTCTTTGGTGAGTTCATGTACCCTATAATAAATTTTTAAAATAACAAAAAATAGGGATCCAGCAGTTAGCGTAATGGCTATGTCGCTGGACTCCCACGTAGTCGACCGCGGTTCGTGTCCCGGACCCGGTGGCTTAAAACTCACGCCGGGCGCGTGTGCATGCATGCCCAAGATCCCAAGAGGAGAATGGAGGAGAAGGGATTGCGGCGTGACCATCCCCCCTGGGGGGTGATTTCTCGCTTTCTGTCTCTCTGTCTCTCTCTGTCTATCTGGCGAGCGCACGCGCCCTACGGTGAAAATCTCTCCAAAAAACAAAAAATAAATGTAAATATATTGTTTTTAAAAAAGTCATCTTACAGAGGTTTACCTAACCATCATTATTACATCCTTTTATTCTGTTTCTTTATTGGGTTGAATTGGACCAAGGCTCATTTGAGACATTTGTTGACTCATCTTATCCCTATTTTATTCATTTTAAATAATTATTTTATTTCAGTTATTACTTTTTAAATAATTATTTTATTTAACTTTGTTTATTTATTCACTTGTTTATTTCAATTTGACCAGAGAGGGACAGAGTGAAAGAAACAGAAAGTGTGAAAGCAAACTGCCAGGTTCGGGACTCGAACCCCGGTCAGTCATATGGGAATCCAGCACCTTTAATCACCACGCCATCTGCCGGCCTTATTTCACTTATTATTATCATTATTATTTGTTTAATTTGACCTGAGAGAGCAGAGAGAGAGAAAAAGAAAGTGGGAAAGCAAGCTTCCAAGTTCAGGACTCGAAGTGCAGTCTTCCATGTGAGAGTCCAACGCCCAAACCACCAGAAAGAGAGTGGTAGTGAGAAAGCAAGCCACCAGGGACTGGAATCAGGGCCCGCCATGTGGGAGTCCAGTGCCTTAACCACTGCGCAACCTGCTGCCCCATCCCCATTTTACGTCTTCCCAGGGCAAGGACTGTTGTCTGCCTTGTTCACCTAAATCCCTAGCACACAGTAGGCGCCTATGGAGCATAGGATGGACAAGAGACTGCACCTGCTCATCCGTCCTGTCCTTCGGCAAGCACACATCTTTATGCTGAAGCTACACCTCTTTGTTCAGCCTGAACACGAACAGCTGAACTTGATCCCCGCCCTCGCTATTACAACAGACCTGTTCCAACTCCAGAACTAGGTGCACGGATCAATTTGACAACTGTCGCCAATTTCTCTACAAAAAGGGAACCAAGAAGGGTCCCTGAGTAGCTCCGTTGAAGGGCTGGTGACGGGACAGAGCAGGAGGGAATGAAGGCGCCCATTTTGGGGACAAGGACGCCAAGGCCGGAAGCGACTCATCCGCGATCTCTGTGCGCCGACTACTCAAAGTGCGCTCGGTTCTTGCCCGCGGTTCGCAGGACGACCGTCTCAGGCCCCGCCCCCACGGAACGCCCTGCGTAGGCCCCGCCCCCGCTCTCGCGAGAGCTGGGAGGTGGAAAATGGCGCCGACGTGAGCGCGAGCCCGCATCGCCGAGGAAGTGGCCGCCGCCTCAGCCCGAGTCGTCGGGGCTTCGGGGGCC